ATTGAGCTCTCAAGGACGTGGTTTACCCCCTGACGATAATAGGTTAAGGTATTGCCGAAGCCGACTTTTCCCCTACCTTGGAGAAATTTTTTCTACCTTTTCGGAGGAATTTCTTCTACATCCTTGGAGGAATTTCTTTTACCTTTTCGGGGAATTACTTCTACCCTTTCGGAGAAATTTCTTCTACCTTCTCGGAGGAATTTCTTCCACCTTCTCTGAGGAATATCTTCTACCTTCTCGGAGGAATTTCTTCCACCTTCTCTGAGGAATTTCTTCTACCTTTTCGGGGAATTGCTTCTACCCTCTCGGAGGAATTTCATCTACCCTTTCGGGGGAATTTCAACTGCCCTCTCAGAGAGCACCAGTAGCTTCCTCGCAAGAAAGATGATGGTTCTCACTTACCGAGTTGCGCCATTGTCGTGACTGGACCGAGGCTTCCAGCCTCCATTCGCGGTTCTACGAATCTGCTGCTCCCTCTGTTGGTCCGCTAGTGCCGCTATCCCTTTTGCTGGTGGTCCTTTGCTGGTCGTCCGCTCTCTCCACAGTCCGTCATAAGAATGCCGTCAACGAGCTTAGGTACCTCATATTTATACCTCTAGCTGTATCAAAATTTCCGAACCAATCAGATTCCGTTTACATACGGTCTATCACGCTTTACACTCACTCGATTCTACTCATTTATATATTTCCACTAACTCTATCTACTACACACTTCTGTGACGTATTTTTGAAATTTCTGAAACTTCGTTGAGCTTCCGCAATTTTCTTGGAATCAAAACGAAATTATTAATATTGTTCTATGATTTCCACTGCAGTTCTCAAAATTTTCTTGAAGTTCATGGAACTGCCCTTTAAATTATCTACACTAATGTATAACTTCTGCAATAGTCTAGACTTTCCTAATATTATTGAAACTGCCTAAAAGATTTTTGGATTTCCTCAAAGTTCTGCCCTGAATTTATCAGTATTTTTTTTATAAGAACCCACAATTTTACTGAAATTAATTGAACTGCCTTGAAATTACCACAACTTTACTTAAGTTTTATAAACTTTATAAACGTTTACGGAACTTAGCCTTAAATCACTAAGTTACCCTGAACTTATCCGGACATTCCTGATGTTTTCTATGCTTACCTGAAGTTCTCTAAATTGGTTTAATGTTCCATTATTTTTTTTTCTGAAGTGTTCGGTTCAATCATAGAATTCCCAGAATATCCCATAATTCCACGGATCTCCTTGTAAGTCACTGCAAACTTCCTTAAATAAATTTGATTGTTCTAAAGTTATCTGATGATCCTCGAAGTACTCGGCACTTCGCTGAGTATAACGAAGCATTTTGTTTAATTAATGGAACTTCGTTGATGTTCTCCAATTAACTTAGCTGAATTTTCACCATTAAAATACTCTCACTTCTCACATTTTCCGAATGTTCATATAATTTTTATTGCCTTCCATAAATTCTCTCTCAGCTCTGTTGAAGTTTCCGGAAAGTCCCTGAGATTCTCCAAACTTCTTTACGGTTTCTGAAATTTCCTTGAAATTATTTGAACTGCCCTTTGACTCACTGATCGGTTCTCGGAATTTTCCTGAAGCTCTCAATTATTTTGAAAACCTAGGTTCTGCTCTGAAATAAATGGAATTCTCGTAAACCAGTGGCGTCACGTAGCCTCACTTTTTAGCTGTTCAACAAAATTAAAACGTAATTTAGAGCCATGTTTATATTCAAATCGGGTTTTTTTAGTTTCCCTGGTATCGATTCAAATATCTTTTTATTTGTTTGCGTTTTGAGAGTTGTTTAACAGGTAGATTGAGGGTAGGGCAACGCCACTGTCACAAGCACATTAAAACTTCCTCAAAATTTTATGAACTGCTGTGAAGTTCCTGACATATTTCTGAAGTTTTCATAAATTCTCTGAAGATCGCTCTACTTCCCTGAGATTGTCGAAACATTTTTTCTCGGGTTCTCAGATTTTTTTTCTAAACTCACGCTTATGATCTTTCAACTGCTCTAAAAGTCCGGACTAAAGTTACTGAAACTGCTCTTAAGTTTCCACATTTTTCCTCGAGTGTTGACACCGGTGAAGTTCTTCGAAATTCTAGGAACTTCTTAAAAGTTCCTGCTGTTTCTGGGAAGAATAGAACCGCTTTAAAGTTCTTACAGGTTCCAGTAAGTTCCTCATATTTTCAGAATGTTAACTTTCCTTATGTTCCCGCAGTTTGTTTCCTTTCATTCCTCAGAACTTTTATCGGATGTCACTACTTCATACTCTCGCGTGTATGCTCGCGTTTAGAGACTTTGTCTCAAAAGATCGATTCTATTGAATCACATGTATGCGAGAGCGTCGAAAATCTGGCAAGTGAGCGATGTTCTTCCATCACAAGGACTTGGAATCGCTTTTGCAAGGGGATTCTTGACAAAAGACTATTATGTATTTCGAAATCCTTGGGGTTTTATAGCTCGCATTTTTTAAACTTAATATTTGAGATTTATAGCCGTTGGCTAGTTCATCTCGTTATATAGCTCGCTGTTACAAAGGTTTACATTTGGGTTTTGCTATTAACTAATGAATCAAAAAGAGATAGATAGAGACGCCTGGGACGGAGTGTTGACAAATATTGGAATTTGGTATTTTGCCCTTGCGCGCCCCCATCGATGCAATTGTTTGGTGTTTTGGTTTCTTCTGTTTGGCACTGCTGCGCAAGGCCACTCGGATGAGTAATTTGAGTCAGCAAAACATGTGTGCCTCGTTCATGCTTTACTGTCCGTTGCAATGTGTGGCAAAAGGGTTTGCTCGGAAATTGCATCGATATCGGCGTTTAGTATTTGAACGAACTTTAAATGGAAATGCACTTTCTAGCTTATGATTCATTACGTGGGAAGATGCATAGCATCCTTTTGTAAAGTTCCTACAATTGTTATGAAGTTTATGGGACTACACTGAAGATCTCTAATCTTTCATAAAGTTAACACCTTGTTTTTAGAGAAAAACGATTAAGCGTCAAAAAGCTCTATAAAAGCACAACACCTTCGAATTGTTCGAAAATTAGTACAAAATGTAGTTATCGGCAAAAAGTTGGAAAGTCTAAAAAGTTCAAAAATTTGTCCAAAAGTTGTTTAATGATTTGTGTCACTTGGCGTGGAACTGCTCATGCTTATACTATGGACATGCATACTTTTTTTTATCCATTTGATCATAGTTTTGAAAAATTTCAAACTATCAAATTGAGTTTGTTTTTTTTTTTTTTTTCATTAAGTGTGTGAACTTGCATGCAATAATAAGCGAGGAACCTCAAACATTGCACTTGAAAAGTCAATGACTTTTTATAATTTATTGTATGCTGCTTGCTTTCGTTACTTTGACCACAGCGTTTCAACAATATCATTCGTACTGTAGTAGGTCTAGAGCACCCGTAAAAGTGAACAAATCACGGTTACCTTTTCGAAGGGACGTATCAGATTTTGTAAACAATGCATTTGATCGTCGGTTTGGCGCAACTGGTAGCTCGCCCACGCATACTAGCACTACTATCAGGATCAGCATGCGTGGGCGAGCTACCAGTTACGCCAAACCGACGATCAAATGCATTGTTTAAAAAAGCTCATACATCCCTTCGAAAAAGTAATCGAGAAATCATTAAACTGATCCTGAATTGATGTAAAGTTTTTAACTTTGAATTAAATCGTACGTTATTAAAAAATACGTTCGGAAAAAGTTCGGAAAGGCTCCTAAGTTTTTCAGAAAAACATATAACGTAAAAATTGAATTAGAAGAACTTCCTGAGACGTTTAAAATTCGTTCACACATAGGAATTAAAGGAAAGATTTGATTTCTAGAACAAGTTCGCAGAACTTCTGAGGTGAATACGGAGATTTTGCTTGGAAAATTTAGAGGACGCGTCCATAGGACCTATTATTTTAAATAACAAAATACTAAATCCCAAGAAGCTTTAGGAGAGATTTTTAGAAAGTTCAGAACTTCTAGGAATGTTTGAAATCTCGCGTAACATTTGAAAAGGGCCTATGTCCAAAATGTAAACAATCCAGAAAATGAATTGTAAATTTTTCCGCCAGTATTTAATTCCTATATAAATAAATTGAAGTATTTTAGGCAATTATATTGTTCACAATAACAATAGTAACTATATCTCAGTACACAACATCCAAAACATGCGAAACGTTTTCAAAAATACATGAAAATCGATAAAAATTTAGTATCACAGTAATAAGCCTTTTTGTGAATCTTTAAATGGTTAGGCCATTTTTGTTAAGTCGTTGTGCTTGTCATCATAAATTGTAGGCCCTTTGCTAAGCCTTTTCTTAACGTCAAATAAATCATCGGCCCTGCCTCAAGCAGTAGGGCCTAGCTTTGATTTGAAATTTTTCAATCATCGGCCCTTCTACGTCGCTAGGCTTATGAATGGAACCTCATCAAACGAAAAAAAAAATATGTTAGGCCCGAGGTTAGGCCGTTTTAGCATGAATGATTGGAAAAATTTCGTGGATCGGCCGTTTTTAAAATCAAGTTATTTTTAATGATTTTTATCGATAATGCGGAACATTCCTATACGACTGGTAGCTAATTACCAGTGCTACAGAATGGTATCAAAAATCGGTTTGTTTACATTTTGATCATAGGCCCTATTCAAATGTTACGCGAGAAATCGTCTAGAAGGAGCTTTATTAATTAAAAAAAAAAGTTTTTTTGAGCTTCCACAGTATGATATTGTGATACAATACAGCCAACTCGCCCGAACTCGATATTTAAGGAACTATCAGTCTAATTTATTGATTCAACACCGTAAATGTAGCATAAACCTGGATGTGATCTAAACACATTGATTCCGAACGTTCCTCGGGTTTCTTGTGTGAGAGATTCAATGATGGGTAAAATGGGAGCAACAAGACCGTGTCTACATATCTGAAAGTGGATATTCCCATACGATTTCTATCTATATTCTACATTATCTTCATGGTGATATTAATTTGCAAATCCACCTACCGATAAATCCACCGACAGGTCCGTATTGTCCAGCAGTATCACCCGGCACGGTACCAGGTTCTTGTTGTTGGGGATGCGCTGCGACTTGATCTGACTGTCAGCCGTGTCCGTCCCCGGTACGTTCCGGGTCTTCCGTCGACTCAGGAACCTCAGCATCGTGGTTCTATTATTTACACTCTAACTTTCCCTATCTATATTATCGCACGCACGCACTCGAGTCCGAGAGTTGATCGAAACGTCTTCCATCCAATTAGTGCACCGGAATTTCGCGACCCTTCTTCTTCTGCCTATTGTACTGGTCACCACCAGCGCACACCATAACAGCAATAACAACAACAGCAGAAAACTTCCACGACAGCGCGGCCACCACCAGCAAAAGCAGAGGCAGAACCCCGACGACGAAGACCACGGTTGACACGAATACAAAAACAAATGCAGCGAAACTTCGTTGTTTCTCCTCGTATTCGTCTTCCAGATTCCTTCTTCCTACAATCGCAGCCCACTCTCCTCCGGCTGTTATCGTATTTCGATATTATTTGATTTTTCCCTTTGGACTGGACGGACACACTCTTTCTCCTCTGGCCTGGCACAGCAAGCGGGAACCTCACTCACCAAACCACTCTTCTTCCAAACCTTTTTCCCGACACTCTTCTTGTTGCCCTGCTTAGTATGCTTTGCTTCTTTCTTCTGCTTCGCACTCACACCACCAGCGTGACTTCTTATTAGCTGCTGTCCATATCCAGATCCAGCTCGCTCCCCAAGAAAAGACACGGACCCACGAAACAAGCACTGCTTGCTAGCTGCTGCTGCTGCTTTGGACACCTCTTTTTTACTTCTAGATTCTTGCCAACCAGCCACCACCACTACCACTACCACTATGCGCGCTAACCACACACTAGGCAGCCAGTTTTTCTTCCTCCGCCAGCGCAAATCGGAACCACCTCTGGAGGACTACTCCACGAAACATTGCACACACTTTTTGTCACCCCGCACTAACTGATAGTGTCCAAACTGAATGTATCGCCAATATTCCGTTGATAATTGGATTAAATTATCAGCGTCCGAGAAGGGCAAACATCAGAACAGAACCAAGGAAAAGCGACCGATTTTTTTCGGTGTGAGTCTTCTTCTGTCCAGTGGTGTGTGGCTGCTTTAAAAAAAAACTAAAAAACTAAACCGCGAGAAGAAACGTAAACCGCTCCAACACTTTGCGTGCGTCCGAACGATGGGAAACGCGAATCTCAACTGAGGAATGAAGAAAGCGAAACCCGAAAGCTTTACGACCGGAGTTCGGTTTGTTGACCGTCCGTCCGTCGCTTCACCAGCTCCGGGAAGAATGATGCGATGTTTTTCAAAGAGAAAATTTCAGAACACCACTGGGCAGAAACATGCTAGGGTAAACGCTCCTATAGTTGCGGTACGTTAGAAGCGTTAGGTTCCTATAGTTGTGTATGGAGACTCCATACACAACTATAGGAACCTAACGCTTCTAACGTACCGCAACTATAGGAGCGTTTCCCCTACTACACCGAAAATATTTTTCATGTAGCTTCCATTGGAATCGCAAATGATTTTCATCCATAAACAAAATTAATGGAATTTTCATCTGAAATTTACATAACATTTATGCGATCACGTTAATGTTATATGATTTTTCATATGAATTTCATCGGCCTCATAGTATTCATGTGATTTAGTGGTGAGATTTTTACCTATGTGATCACATGAAAGCTATGTGAAATTCACATGGTTTTCATCCATTAGATATGTGATAAATTTTTTGAGTGTAAGGCACATTTCTCGCGTAACATTTGAAAAGGGCCTATGTCCAAAATGTAAACAATCCAGAAAATGAATTGTAAATTTTTCCGCCAGTATTTAATTCCTAAATAAATAAATTGAAGCATTTTAGGCATTTATATTGTTCACAATAACAATAGTAACTATATCTCAGTACACAACATCCAAAACATGCGAAACGTTTTCAAAAATACATGAAAATCGATAAAAATTTAATATCACAGTAATAAGCCTTTTTGTGAATCTTTAAATGGTTAGGCCCTTTTTGTTAAGCCGTTGTGCTTGTCATCATAAATTGTAGGCCCTTTGCTAAGCCTTTTCTTAACGTCAAATAAATCATCGGCCCTGCCTCAAGCAGTAGGGCCTAGCTTTGATTTGAAATTTTTCAATCATCGGCCCTTCTACGTCGCTAGGCTTATGAATGGAACCTCATCGAACGAAAAAAATATATGTTAGGCCCGAGGTTAGGCCGTTTTAGCATGAATGATTGGAAAAATTTCGTGGATCGGCCGTTTTTAAAATCAAGTTATTTTTAATGATTTTTATCGATAATGCGGAACATTCCTATACGACTGGTAGCTAATTACCAGTGCTACAGAATGGTATCAAAAATCGGTTTGTTTACATTTTGATCATAGGCCCTATTCAAATGTTACGCGAGATTTCTTGGTGCCACTTGCTAACCGGCGAAGATAAATTGATCAATAGATGATTCCAAAAACTAGTTGAATTTGAGAAGCACACAAAACATAAAGGTGATTGAATTTCTGTTCTATTGCAATTCTCTCAAATTTAGTCTAGTAAGAATAAGAAAAAATCTAATTGGAATGTTCGATTGGCTCAGATTATGACAGTTCATTTGGCTCAAAACATTCTCTCCGCCCATCTCTCCCTCTGAGTATTTCTACTAAGAACCTAAAGCTAACCCCACACGCATCAATATATTGACGCGAAGGGAAATTATTGACAATAATATTGATGATGTGAATTCAGAAATATTGTCAATCTCGATGTATTGACGTCAATATAGAATGTATTGCTGATTGCATTTGAAACTGGACTGTCATAAATATACAAAAAGTGTGATAAAAGTGCACGTGTCCGTCAAACCGTGTTGATGTCTTCGGAGCACTTATTGCTTCATAAGGAATAAGTGCACCGAAGACACCAAGACGATTAGACGTAAACTTGCAGTTTTATCACACTTTTTAATAAGTGAAAACACGCTTATTAGTCCAATTTGGTGTGAAACGCGCAATATTGACAATACGATTATTTTCAATAAAAGCAATCGTGTAGGATCCACTTAAGAGAAGAGGTGACAATACGGGGGCAATTATGAACCACTTTTCTGTCAAACGTGAACCAGCTCGTGATTGGCTGAACAAGAGATTCGACTCAACGATATAGTTCAGCCCAATGAGTTAGTTTTGAGTAAATTGCATATTCTCAAATTTACGTGAATTAAATTTAATTTTAGGTAGAATATACTTAAGAGTAGGTAATTCTTTTGCTGGTGTTATATGGAAACTACTATATGCGATTTACTCAAATTTGGGTTACTGGGCTGAACTCTGGAATTGAGGGAAAAGTACTTAATTTTGAGTAGTTTTTTATCTCCGTGTAGATAAAGATAGAGATAGAGATATAAATTAAAGAGTAAGAAGCCAATTGTCACCTCTTCCTCTTAGCTGAAAACCTGGGACGGGACTTGACAATCGGGTAGCGATTTCGAGCCAATTTGCTGTCAGATCCGAGCCAGTTTCTGATTGGTTGATTTGACAGTAGCAATCGTGGAATAAAATGGACAGAGGGATCGCATCAATCTGACTGGCAGTGACGCCAGAATCAATTTTGACGTCAGTGGCGTTGTTAATTGTTTATATTTGCGAAAGGAACGTTGAAAAATTGAGTGCTCTGCGTGTTTTAAGCGATGGATATTGATGTTTGCTTATGGTTGTTTTTATTGTGTTGAGCAAAATGATGTACAAGCTTAAACTAAACTGCAGTAGAAACTCCAAATTAAAAATAGAAATAATAATTTACATTACTGGCATCATTGGTCAACTCCGTCAAACACCTCGCACAACTTTCCGAAGGACATTCTTCAATAAAATTAAGGAGAGTAAGAAGCTCGATTGTATGATAGCTTGTATGAGCTGTAACGTCGGTTTATCGGTGGTTGAATCTCAGGTTGAGGTTCGCACTGACAAAAATTTCGGTTTCGCACTGGGTAGAAACTGGTTCCAACCCCGATAATAAACAAATTCACTATTAGGCAACAGGGTAGTCTCCATAGAACTCCACTCTGGTTGATGTTAACACCAGACATCACTTTGTTTAGTTCTTCGTTGTTACGGAAAGCCAACAGCCAGGAGTCTAATTCTATTTGACATTATTTGATTAAACGTCGTAGAATTCAATAGAGTACGGCAGTATGAAAATTGAATAGAAGTTGAAAATGACCGAAGGGCCATTAATGCGACAGTATAATGAAACGTTGCTAGAACTATTCCACAACCGCAGACAGTCATGATCAAAGGCGGGTGCACATTTTTTGCCTGAAGATTTGAAGACATACTTCAAATCTCCGCGTACTACGTACGGGTTAGGCAAAAGGTGTGCGTTTGACTTTGTCCTGTCGCATTAATGGCCCTTCGCTCATTTTCAACTTCTATTCAATTTTCATAGTGCCGTACTCTAACGGAACTATCTACCTACCCTCTTCTAAAGACCATTCTCTAGCTAATAAATTATCACACTAAAGCTTTTCCGAACATCAGTCAAGCTACCCTACTGGTGAGTATTATCTGCAGGTGCTATAGTCCATTCTGCGTACGAGTTTTGATGGTCCGAAAGTGAGGATAACAATAACAAACCAACATTTTTGGCTGGAGCCAAAATTGCGGATAGCAAACTTCGCACTTGAAAATGGGATTACGCAAGTGTGCGAGTTATAAACGTCAGAAAGGTCAATAGGAATCTTTAATGAACATATTTCTAACCCCGATAAAAACCGAATTAGCTATATAAATCAAGAAATTTAAGATATCAATCATATATTTTAATATATTCAGCTATGGTGTTCCGCCCCTTTCCGTGCGCTTCTATTCTTGTATATTCAGCCCCACTGGGCTTAAAAACATCGCCCACGAGTTTCGTCTTTTGGGCCAACCCTGCCGAGCTTGGTGACGTTTACAAATAAACAGCCGTCAAAAATCCAACAAAATTTCATCCGTGGCCGAAATCGTCTGACGTGTTTCCATTCCGCAAGTATTCTTAAGTTTTCCGTGAAAATCTCTGGAAAAGCCGTGCATTTCACAAATATTTCAGCATGTTTAACATTGCAACTCACATGGTAAGCGAGACTAGCGATAGGATCGGACAAATTGGTCGAAATAGTTGTGATACGGACCTAAACTTTATTCGTTGTTTCACCAGGACTATGAGGGGCAGGGACGCGCTGAGAAGCTATCTCGAGTGATCATCACTTTGTTCGGTGTGGTCGGTCTGATCTGGGGCTACATCATCCAACAGTTCTCCCAAACGGTGTACATTCTGATTGCCGGTGTGCTGCTGGCTTCGATCGTAAGCTCTCCTTGCCAAGGTTATAATATCTTTAAATTCTCAAGTTTTTCACTTTTGCAGCTTACCATTCCACCATGGCCGATTTATCGTCGCAAACCATTGAGCTGGCAAAAACCCCGACCAGAGCCTCAATCAACCACCGGTGGAACGGAAACCGAGTCCAGTAAGAAGAAGAAGAAATAGCTTTCTGGGGATCTCGTATTTGATAAGAATTAAAAATAATGAAAAATAACATAATCGCGTTTTATTCTTCCAGTAGCTCAAGAAGATTATTCTTCAGGTGTCTGCTTGTTGCTCTTGCTGTTGCTTCTGTTTTTGTTGGTATTTATCCTCAAGGAACAGTGGTCTCCGATACGCTCTGAGCGTATGATGTTCGTAGTAGTCATGTATCAAATTGTACATGTGTAGGAAAAAGAACAACAGATTATCATACTGGCCGTTGTACGGTGCCGGTTTTCCTTCCATCAGATGATCGAATTGCACAACTTTATCGTGAGGAAAATTTAAGTATCCCAAATGCTTCAGCCCTTCATATCTCGAGTCCAGTCCGTAGGCATTGATGTGAAGTTCTATGAGAAACTGATGAACTGCTTCCACCGTTGCCAGAAACCACCGTGGACTGTTCTTCTGGTGGCGCCAAAACTGAGAGATTCTGTTCTGGATAACGACCGTCTTCAGGCAGGCGACCCGTTCGTCCTTGTAAATCCCTCGGCATTGGCTCCAGGTGCTGTCGATAAAAACAGCCTTTTGAACAGGCAATCGATGCGCTAGTTCGTGACTCTTTGAAACCTCCGCAACTATGTCTGTCAATCGACACCGAAGCAATGTGCCCATATGATGTCCCTTGGGAAGTCCGTAGTTGTCCTTGACCTTTGGTGGCTCTCCGCTGCACAAACTGGCAACAGTATCGGCATCTGGTGTTGGGAAAATTAATACTGCACCTTCCTCCTGCCTATAGTCTGGGATGTTGGGATAGGTGTATATTTTTACGTCCTCCGGAGCGAGAATCGCAGCATGGATTGCGGTACTCTTGCCGTCGATTTCATTCTTATGCTTGATGATATCGATTTTGATCGGTAGCTAAACAAAACAAAAACAGACAACGGAATAAATTTCTGTTAGTGGGGAACTTCGAACGCGAAAGATTACCTTGACAAAGGACAGCTTTCCCTGAAGCTCGGCTACTGGAACGTAGCAGTGATAGCAAAAGAACTTCCTCGATTTTCCGCAACCCGTACAAGAGCTTCTACCTTCGACATCCTTCAGGAATGTCGTGTCATCGATGTGCATTCCAGCGAACGGATTCTCCGGCTGCGGTGGCACTCCGTCAGAATCAGTCATTGTTGTTACTTACGGAAATTTCGTTAAATTGCCATCGATGGGGAATGGAAACTGGAAAAACCGACAGATAGTGGGAAAAGCTGCGCCCACCTTTTTGAAAACCCGTTTGTTTATATTTACTTCGTTCGTTGATCTGTCAAATGAGCCGCTGTAAAATGAATTTTGGTTATGATAGTATTGGGCGACCTTACATCGAGCTGACTTTTTTTATGCCAATTTACCGATTCAACAAAGCTCTTGAGCGGCATAAAAATCATCTCTATACCCTAATAAAAATTGTATGGTTAATTTGCTTAACGACGTGTTCTGGGTATCATCCAAACCATTTATGGAATAGTTCAATGATTTGGGTTATCGTTCGTTTATGGTTATTTTTTATTAGGGTAGTCACGTCTTCCTTCGGAAGGGAAGTAAAGTCGTTGGTCCCGGCCCATGTGTGTTTGATATTCTGTGCCGAGAGTGCCATGTCATCGAACTGATTTGTGTGTGTGAATAATTGTATGTTTGGCAACCCGGTATTTTGCAAGGGGTATTCAACCAACAATCAATACGAAACTAACGATTTTAAATTGGCTCACTACTTGACTAGCCTATTGGTCCCAAGCAAATCCATTAACGTACCCCATTCTAGTCAAAATTCTAGTACTACACAATGTTTGTTTTGATTCGCTATGAAAGTTTGACAGATAAAATGAGGGGTTAGTGCACAGAGAAAAAAGTACCCTAAATTTAAGTTCTTTTTACTTAATTTTGGGTAATTTAGAGTTTTGCATCCCACTCTCACTTTTTGTTGTTGTCAAAAACGGAACGAGAGATTCGACTTTCTCATGACTATTGTTCAATAAGCTATTAGCAACCTCTATGCTATTAGTGAGTATATGAGATATTCTCTAATTTGAGTCAATTGAACTTAATTTTGGGTAGAAAATACTCATCAGTAAGTAATTATTTTTGCCGTAGTCAAATGTAAACTACTATAAGCGGTTTATTCAAAATTAGCTTATTGAACGGAACATGGAGATGAGTATAAAAAACTTAATTTTGGGTAATTTTTCGGTTCCGTGTGGATTTTCCTATGTTTCGAGAGGTGAATCGATAAGCTTGGGACTGAAGAGAGTACCAGCAACCGGTGGAAACTAACGATTTAAAATTGGCTCACCACTTGACTAGCCTATTGGTCCCAAGCAAATCGATTAACGTACCCCATTCTAGTCAAAATTCTAGTACTACACAATGTTTGTTTTGATTCGCTATGAAAGTTTGACAGATAAAATGAGGGATTATTGGATTTTCCTATGTTTCGAGGGGTGAATCGATTAGCTTGGGACCGAAGAGAGTACCAGAGCTGAGCCAAAAAGTTGAGTACGTTTCTTCGGGACCTACTAGTCACACAGAGAGCCCACATTTCCAATTCAGGGTAGGAGTAGCGGTTCCCTACCAACACTTCCGGACTGCAGTACTCGGTCGTGCCGTAGAAGCAACAATCAATTCGAGCCTCCATGTCTGTTCTCTGTGCCTAAAGTCTAACAGGAATGTTTAGACTAGTTTTTACAGAAATTTTATTCGAGCCTCAACGTCTGTTCTCTGTGACAGAAGTGCATAAACTTCCCAATTCCGTGGCAGTTTCTGCCACAAACGAACTGACAGACGGAGCGGCTCGAAAATTTTGGTGACCGGCAATCCATTGACGGCAATCGAATGTGCAGGAACGCAGCTTCCACACCTGCGTAGGATATCGCACTTATTCAAACACACATGGGCCGGGACCAACGGCTTTACTTCCCATCCAAATGAAGACGTGGCCAGAGATTTTTATGCCTCAGAAAAATCCCACCGACCACGGCTGGTATTGAACCCAGACCCATTAGGGTGAGAAAGCAATCACGCTTACCATTACACCACCGGTGCCGGCAAATTATTTGTTGCGGATACCGAGGGGGTGACTCTATCTACGATACCGGAAATTTTTTGTTTTGCTGGGGTTAGCTGCACGCACGCTGAGTAGATAAAGAAGATTGATGTCGATTCTGAAGATTTCCTGCAAAAAGATGATGCACGATGCAAGTAGATGCGAGAAATGAAATAAGATTTTTCGAATATTGGTTCGCTAGTGTGAGATTTGTTGAGCATCTAGAATTAACCACTTCATTCGAGCAGATAAAATGACGTTTACTACCACTCGAACTTTGAAATGAATCATTATTTTGAGATTTTTTCTTCTAGAACCTCTAGAAAAGTAGCCAACATTTGTGCGTTTCATAAAAAAATAGAAATTAGTTGCTCCAGTTTTGTGAGAACGCTGGTAGAAAGTCACGCCAAAACTGCTTGACAAAGTGGTCAATTCGGCGGATGCCGAAATTGTTTTTATCAACAATAGGATTGGGCGATCTTGGATCGATATTTGGAAGATCGATCTTCAACAATCAAATTTTGACACATCCTCCAGAACTACCCTAATAAACAAATACCATAAACGAACGGTAACCCGGATGGTAGAACAATCCCAGAAATGGTTTGGATGAACGGATGAACGCCGAACACGTCGTTAAGCTCTTACTAATGGCTATTTTGATAACTACACTGTCCTTCAGTTCTTCTGCTTTAAGTGTGTCGAAATCAATATTTCTAATTATGCTAATTTTTGACTGCACGGAAAACAAAACATAGGTATTGAACATTCTTCAAGATTACTAAAAATCTGTGATTCTCGGTAGGAAAAGTGAACAATCGGTAGTTTTTAACCTATCGTCTGTGAATCGGTAGGCATCCCGAAAATCGGTACGACCACCGATAAATCGGTAAATCTTGCCACCCTGTCCCCGCTGCGCATGCGCAGAAATAATGCAGTGATGCCAGTTACTTTAGAGATCACAAAAAATATGTACCATGGGTGTGTGACAATGAGTGAGTCATGGTGTGCCCTACTGTGTTTTTGGCACACTGTGCTGAGTGACCTCAGTAGGCTGGGCGTGTGAACGAACATGACTTTCGTTTTTTTCTCGGAGTTTTTTTATGCTTATGACGGGACTAGTTTATGTCGATCCCCATCAAGCGAACCGTCTTTGATTGGAACTACAATACAACAATAGCTCGGTTGCTTCCTGTGGATTCATTTGGACTAACTTGGTGAGATCGTATCTGATTTTATCTACTTAAACTAAATTTACATGATTCTCTTAAATTTGGCAAATTCTTAAAGGAGTTTTCTCCACACATCCCATTTTTTGTGTATTTGAAACCATCATCGAACGCCAAATGTCTGCACATTTTTGAACATGTGGTGGAACATTACTGTAATTCATATACAGGGTGTTTGGTTCCGGGTTTTACATATTTTCAGGGTAGATAGGGCTCCTAAAGTTATGAAAAAATCCCCATGAAACATAGGGTCGGAAATGACTGCTAAGTGAGTTATTCAACATTTTATGTTTTTTTGTATTGCCAACTTTGGTTAGCTATATTTTTTTTAACCTTAATGTGGTTTTCTGATTTCAACATACCAAATGAAAGATTAAAGTCTTAGCTATCAATGCTCTATGAAAAAGAACTCGATTAAAGTTAATTATCATACATTAAAATTGAAAAGTATGTTGAAAGTACAAAAAAAAATGTTAAAAATTTTAGTGTTTTTGAGTTGAAAATTTTCATTTCTGTTTATTTAGTTGTTCTACAAAACATTTTCCATTCAGTTCCCTAGATTTGTGCCTTTGGTAGTAACCTTGTAGCACAAACGAAGTCACAGACGGAGCGGCTCGAAAACTTTGGTGACTAACCTGCTATTGCAATTTTTCAGTGTACCACATGGTAACACCACTACTACTGGATTGTACCACATGGCAACACTACTATTAGATTGAACTAGCATTTTCACCAAATGTACTAGAATGTTTTGGTTCTATCTCATTCACTCTACTCAAAACTGAAATGTATAAAAAAATGACAAAATGATACGCACTCTTTGCACACTGTCAAAGAATCATTGTACACAAAATCAACTTTGTTCAAATCAAAACAAAAAAACTAACCCATCTGGTGGATGATGGCACAAGCTTCCAAGAAAATTCTATTACAGTGAACCACATTATTTAAATGGATTTCTTCGCCAGTTAGTCGTCTGTCACTTCGTTTGTGCTTGTAGGCTTTATGGTTTCTTCGTAATTATTGATTTAAAACAGCCATAAAAACTTGTGACGTTTTCATAAAATGCGCTATAGTCACCCTATTCGTTCGTACGTTCGGTTGTTGTATACACTCAAAAAAGAAATCACATTGCCGATGGAAAATATCCATTAGAATTTCACATAACTTTCATGTGATCTCATAATTGGGAATCGCACCACGAAATCCCATGAACCTTATGTGTCCAATGAAGTTTATGTGATTTATCACATAGAATTCATGTGATCATGAGAATGTTATGTGAATTTCAGATAAAAATCATTAATTTTGTTATTGGAAAAATATCATGTGCGTTCCCAATGGAAACTATATGAAATTTTTTTTCAGTGTAGTGGACTACGCACATGAAAATTTGGTAGAATGTTATTGTAATTGTTTAGCTACATTCTTAACTTTTGATTACCGCACATCTTCTGCGCCGAAAGAAAACACTCGAGAAAACATAACTGCGGAGATGTTTCGCGGTATCGAATATTGCTCAGTCTCAGCAGAAAACTCAACGAGAGACACCGAATCGGCGAGTTCTGAAGTGGACCCTACACGATTACATTTATTGACAATAATCGTATTGTCAATACATTCTATATTGACGACAATATATCGAGATTGACAATATTTCTGAATTCACATCATCAATATTATTGTCAATAATTCCCCTTCGCGTCAATATATTGATGCGTGTGGGGTTTGCTTGAGAGCGGAAGGGAGAGAAGTAGGTAGTGGTAATAAGTCGATGTCCTTTTCATTTCATAGCACTCGCAGCTCAGCTGCGGTGCTGTTTCGATGGAGGAGTATGCAACTCCGCTGCTTCTGCATACACACTTAGATTTTTTACAGGAGTTAGTATTTTTACTGGATTTTTGGATTACTGACTCGGTTAAAATTCAAATGACTGTTATTCGTAAAGATTGGATAAAATCGATTTTTTTTTTATTTTTCATCATTACACGGGGTTAACAGAAGTTAGTCTGTAAAATTTGGTAACACATTTCTCAACTTTGAATTTTTCACAAATTTTTTAGATTTTAAGAGGCTAGCATGTGGAGGGTATTCTGGAACTAGTGAATGCCACCCATCCCCACTTATAATTCAGTAATACACTAAATATTTATTCATTTCTGTTTGATATGTTTACAAAGTTTGCAAACAGAAATGAGCATTGCAGTGTAGTTACAAATTTTCCAAGTCATAGACTTCAGATAACTGTTCAAAGTCCCAGATTTTTTATAATGGAATCATGAACAAAAAACCAAAGCCCACTATGACAAACGTGATCGGTCTGAAGGGATCTTTACATAGAAATTGTTTTAAGGTAATATGATTCAGAACCTCGGGCTCTGGTTCCACTTCGCTTTTTCCAGGAGTCCATTATCTGCTACCGGAAAACATACAATAACAAAACTGTGATGACAATTTAGTGCCTAAAATCACAATAGTGCTCGAGATCAACTCCCTAGAAAACTCGAAGTTCACGATCACGTTTGTCATAGTGGTCTTTGGTTTTTTGTTCATGATTCCGTTATAAAAAATCTGGGACTTTGAACAGTTATCTGAAGTCTTTGATTTGGAAAATTGGTAACTACACTGCAATGCTCATTTCTGTTTGTCAAACTTTGTAAACATATCAAACAGAAATGAATAAATAGTGTATTACTGAATTATAAGTGGGGATGGGTGGCATTCACTAGCCCGAGAATACCCTCCACATGCTAGCCTCTTCACCAACCATACATCAGTACACACTTATCGAGTCAGTAATTTTTACCGAGTTTTTGAATTGCGGAACTCTTCGGTAAAAATTAAAAAATCTGTGAAAAATTCAAAGTTGAGAATATGTAAAACCCGGAACCAAACACCCTGTATATTAAAACATTATATTATATACTGGGTTGGGGGGGCAGCCTAAGGGAATCAAAGGATTTGTTGACTGGACGAGGGTTCGTGGATTTGCCAATCCCTTGTCACGTGATTACAGATGACCATCTGGTCGTTTTGTCTTCCAAAGTCTTCAATGAAGCTGATTCACCCTGCTGCAACAAACCATCAGGCAGAACTTTACAACCGGTAAAGTATCTGCAGACATTGGTAATCCTTGCACTGATGGTGGGTTCCATTCACATCATCACATCACATCACACTGTGCTGAGTAACCTACCCCTTGGTGTCATCTTAGATTCCTTCTATGGTAAAAGCATTCATTTGATCCGGCCTTTTGTGCATTTTTAAAACAATTTGTACACTGAATTCATGCAAAAAATTATTTGACAACGCACATAGTCATTGTATGTGAAATACCAATAATAGTAATTGGTTTGTTGTTAATGAACTATTCAAGCGTAACTATTCAAATCGACTGCTAGCTCACAGAAACTAACAACACCAGCTAGTAGGAAAAAGATTCCCCTACCTGGTGATAGTGTTTGTTTGCGTGGGTGAGTTAGCAGTTAATACACATCGTTTATTGAAGTGTTTACAAAAGCAGATACTTCGATTTGAATAGTTACGCTTGATTAAGGTTTTAAGTTTTGTATGATTTTGTGTATATTATGATATATCAGATCAGTAGGTTACATAATAAGTTTTTAAATTTGGAGGAGCGAGAAAATGATAAATTTTCTGATTTATACGTCAATGCATGCAGCATCGATTCTTCTGACTTGAACTTCCGCAATCCGGTAGGTTGCTTCCATCTGAACGGGATTAGCATCCTAATTTCACCCATGGTTGTGTTCGCGTTTCCATTGCCAATGGTGATGATTGCGGAAGCTGAATTTGATCGTATTCTTTGCTACCCATAAACGCATAACAGCTCCATTTAAATAGAAAATCAAGCAAGGATGTGATTGTTACGCTTTTATGGGCAGTTTATTTCAACGGACATTTCCAGTTGTATACTTTCAACCGTAACGAAAAAGCCAGTTCGACTGAGAGCTGAGTAGATAGAGAGTAAATTGATGAAAATCTATGAGAAGAAAAATGGCCTTTTTCGGATCACCAAAACAGCATTCGATTCCATTGCGGGATATTTTGTTCTGTCATTACTTATATTTTTCCTTTCATTTTATATGGTTACTTTCCAAATATAATATATAATTTATAGAATAATAATAATATATAATAATAATCATTAATTAGTTAATAATCAGTAAATGTTTTTCTTTTTGCATCATTTTTTAATGTTTTTTCGTCATCATTTTTTTCCATCATCATATATATTTTTAATCATACGCTAATGCAATTGTTATCATACTTTCATTACTTGTTGTTTTTTTATTGTAACTATCGAGTTTTTTTTTTTTATTTTTACTGTATCAATCCATGAATCAAATCATCATCATGTCTGCTTTGTATGCATATTTTTTTTTCTTGTTTTATATCTTCATTGATAACGACTATAATCAGTGGTATTTTATGTTTCGAATCAATGCATGCGCGTGTTGGAATCAATTTTTCGCACGGCGATAAGAATCGTATTTTCTTCTTCTTCTTCTTGATTGAGAACGTATCCTTGTGCTTGGCAAACCTTCGATTGGCAATGCGCACGGTTCGATATAGCGGGAAAAGAACTCAGGCCCAATTGAATCCGTCCGCTGCTCGAACTAGCTACAGCCCTGCCGACCGGGGTCCCAAGTAGAAGAACCGTTCGCATTTGAATCATCATCATGTTTTTTTTACGTTTTGCCTAACAGACCCCAACCTGGAGGTTAAACGTAGTCGGAAAATAATCATCGTCAGCTCTACAAGATACGCACGAAAGGAAAAATGGTTATAAGGATAAAATCTAGCGTTTTGTTGTATTGAATCATTACTGCAACTTCGTCATTTGCGGCGGCTGCTGTTCTACTGCTGCTTCTCTTGCGTTTCTGCGGTATATATTTTTTAGTTTATTTTACTAAGCCCATTTTAATCCACTACCAACAGCTTGCGTGTTTTAGTTACTACCAATGTTCATCATTCTATTGGTTTTTTTTAGTAGTAGTAAGTTATAATAGTACTTATTTTTTTTTCGTTTAGTTATATTCACTTCTCCAAAACGCGTAAGCCTCCTGCTCCTCTTCCTCTTGTCATCGCTGTTCCAATTCGTATAAGGATTCTGTGTTTTTGTGTTCAGCCACTTCAATTCTGTTTCCGGTTCTCTCAGACGCGGTCACCAAATAATGTTTATGTGTAGGAGAAAGTGAAAAATGTCTAAGAGTACACACACCAATGTTTTAGGCGAGATATTTTTTTTTTGTTTGTTATCATTGTTTACCATATGTTTTTTTTCATAAACGTGTTATTCCATAGTTTTACCATTTTTTTTTGTGATTAGCAGCTTGTATTTTTTTTATTGGTTAGAATGAAAAACAGATTTCGCGATTCTAGCTTTTCTTGGTTTGCAACAGGCAGGAGGATTGTGAACGAAATTATTCGAAATAAACACAAGGCCAAAGAAAGTTCCATTCCATCGATATTCTTATGCGTAATGTGTCAGCATTCCTAGTTCATCGTTATGATGGGGTAGAATTTGAGTAGATGTAAGTAGATTTTTTTGTTTTATGTTTGCTCATACTTGTTGTGTTTTGTATTAGAAATACGTTAATTTTTGTGTTAGAGTAACATTTTGTTTCCTTGTTTATCGTAAGAAGGGGTTATCTTCATGTCGTTAGCTTTCAGCCGTTGGTATATCAATGTGTATAATTTTTTGTTTTATCTGAGTGTAGCGGATTTATTAAAGTAGTTGGCGCGAGTAGGGTAGGTAGGTTTGGGAAAGTTTTCAACCAACAGATTCTGCAGCGATGGAATAAAATAGCCAATGGGTTTCTTCGAGTTGCTCTACTTTTTATTGCTTTCTGGTTTCCTTCCACAGTTCACAACTAAAAATCATCATAAGCTTTCAATCAGTTTTATATTTACGCCATAATATAGTCGCTTTCAAAGTCCCAGAGAAGATAAAGTGTAACTTTTTATAACTAAACTTCTACTTTCGCCCGAAAGCCACGTGGAGTGTATACAAAAAAAAAAGAACATAAAATTATGTATAAATAAGACCGTCCACAAAAAAAAAACTTTGCCCAGAAGTTCCATTCCTTTCAATGCTTTCCTTTTTCTGTAACGAACCAAACGCAAACGCAAAAAAAAAACAGAACTTCTATGCGACAAACTGTTTATACATATTTCTCCAGAAAAAAAAGTAACTAATCATAACTAAACAACGGCATAATATTGTTGAATAGTATACAAAGATGAAAAAAGAAAAACAATTTTCTTTGTTTCCGTTTTTGCCAACATTTCTAAACCGCCTTTCTTTTCCTACTAAACAAAGCAGTGTTTTTTGGATCGCTAATCGAAGCGGTTCGTTCGCTTGTATAATTTTCCACTACGCAAACTCTATATGTGTCTGTTATGTGGGTGTGAGTGAGTGTTTGTGTGTGTGTGTGTGTGTTTTGTTATTGAGGCGTTCAAATCAAAAGCTGTATCTACTCTGCACTGTGCTGGTTTTACTGTTTGTTCTTTTCCTCCACAAATGACTTCCAAAAATTAGTAACGCGGAACATTTACGATTTTTTTCTTTCTTTTATTTCACTTCCTAATGTCCACTCCACTTGGCAGGCCAACCCTGAAAGGTAAGAAGAAAATATTCCGTTGTTAGTGATTGCAATGTGATTTAGTAATCCGTTGAGACTCGTGAACTGCGAATGAGAAAATGTGCCATGACGGACTGAGGAATAAGTGCTTTCAATGCAGTCCGCTTCGTGCCCTCTTGCCGTGCGGATCAATTTGCTTTTTGTCGAAGGAAGTGTTGCTGTTGTCAGTACTGAATATTACTGCAAATGTTCTACCTTGTTCCTGCTTGGATATCGATTTGGAAAATTCCTCTTCGGATTCTTGTAGCAATCTGCTAGGAAGTCGATTTGGAGAAACTTTCTTTTGCTACATGCCAGCTAAATGCATGAATTGTGGTGATTCCTCTCTCACGCAAAGGACGACTGTCCTGTGAAGAAAGATCCTACGAAATTGAAATGTTCAAATTGTGGAGGGAATGTAAGACTCGCAAAGTGATCCTACAATCTTGTTCTTCTAAGCGGCAGATAGGAAACGCTCCACGTTCCCGACCAGGCACTAATTCCTCTCCTGTTAACAACGGTCAGCGAGGAACAAATCCTATATTCGTACCCGTAGGTGCAAACAGCTACAAAACGGATGAGTTGACAACATGGAAGGAGCGAGATACCCAAGTAACCATAGGCACGTTATTTCGCCTTTTTGGCTATATACAGCTGAACAACGGCTATACCACAGAACAGAAGGGGAAGTGCAAACAAATCGGTGAATCAAAAGGTGGTTCGTTTTTCTGCTCAACAAGCGATGTATTGTGGTAGCGTTCCACACGGGCTTTCTATATGCACTCACACTATCATAGGATGCTGCCTATCTTAACTTCAGACAGAAGATGCCTTCTACCGCTAGGTGCGCTAGTGTTCACAAATGACAAGTGAAGCCACTTTCTGATCCAAAGTTCCACTCCTGTGGCTATACCACAGAACAGATCCGTCTTGGCCGCTTCAGACAAAGCAGGCCCTTCCGACGAAGTTATTGTTCTTGGCGATTTTAACCTACCGGACATTGCATGGACTCCAACCCATAGTGGTTTCTTTTGTCCTGATCACGAGCGTTCATCTTTCCACGTAGGAACCATCCAGCTCCTGGACAGTTATAGTACCGCAATTCTGTCACAAATCAATGGCCTGTTGAATGAAAACAACCGCACCCTGGATCTCTGCTTTGTGAGTGCTCGTGATACAGCTCCTTTCCTCTCCACGGCACCCGAACCTTTAGTCAAGGTAGTGCATCATCACCCTGCTTTAGTTATCGTGATTGTTCGGTCTGGGAAGGCACTTTCCCTTTCGGCAGTGGACTGTATCGGCAATGATTGGTGGAGGAGGCAAGCGTCGATCTAAATCAATCTCTTTGAGCTCTGAAAAGAGCTGGGGGTGGGTTTCAACGCTTGCTCCGAACCAGGGATGTGTGCTTGGTAATTATTTAAACGGCGAACGGCTACGCTAGTAACTACTTTATTTCTCTCCTCTATCTCTCTACAAAGGTTTGCTTTTTCTGCTGCTGATGCTTGCTCGTGGCCGGTCAAAAGGAAACTGAATTCAGTTTGCCTAATGGGTGCCACTTTTATAGGAGCGCGCTGTCTGCGCATGGTGATATGGACGTCGCTGATTGGTTAGTGTTGTTTGTCGCTGTTCGTCAGCGGCGATTGTCAAGATGGTTGGTTCACTTTCGGCGGAGACGGAACAGTGATCGAAAATAATATTGTCCATGATTTCACCAGCACTCCAAACGCTGTGTCATATGACTTCCGTAGAGCTGACCATTGCAGTATCGTCCATGTGCTGTCTAATCTAGATTGGGAGCATATTCTAGATCCTGTAGACGTCAACATTGCTGCACAAACCTTTTCTCACGTCTTGGCATATGTCATTGACAGACACGTTTCCAAAAAGATCATCCATATCGACTCTCACGTCCCGTGGATGACGAAGGATCTTCGCTCGTTGAAAAGAACTAAGAAGGCTGCTCTCAGAAGATTTACTAAACTCCGCACACTGCCACTGAAATGCTACTATGTCAGACTCAACCACGAGTATAAGACTGCGGATATGTTTCCTGTTCATAAAAAGGGAAGCAAACGCGACGTAAACAACTACCGGGGAATCACGTCGCTGAGTGCTGTATCAAAACTTTTTGAATTGGTTGTCATAGAGTCCCTAAATGCGCATTGCAGGCAATATCTAAGTACAGATCAACACGGATTCATAACTGCTGTGCCTAACGTCTTACATCACAGACAGTTTGATTGCTCGGACCCAAACGGACGTTATCTACACAGATCTTACGGCAGCCTTCGATAAGCTGAACCACGAAATTGCGATCGCTAAGCTTGATAGGCTAGGGATCGGTGGAAATCTTTTGAGATGGTTTCGTTCATACCTCACGGAGCGCCAATTGACAGTAACTTTGGGTACTTGTCGCTCAGCAAGCTTCTGCGCAAAGTCCGGTATACCTCAGGGCAGCCATCTGGGACCATTGGTATTTCTCCTCTACTTCGACGACGTTCACCATGTTATCACAGAGCCACGATTATCGTTTGCAGACGATCTGAAAGTTTTTCTGCGCATGCGCTCACTCGCCGACTGCCGTTCTCTCCAAAATCAGATTGACATCTTTGCTGACTGGTGTAGTCTAAACCGACTGGTGGTCAACCCAGCTAAGTGTACAGTTATTACTTTCTCACGCAAGAAACAACCGATTATTTTCAACTACAAACTACTAGGCACGATTATCGAACGGGTGCACTGCGTGAAAGACTTAGGCGTTTTTCTAGACTCAAAGCTGACATACTCACACCATATATCGTATGTCGTCGACAAAGCGTCCAGAACGCTTGGCTTTGTCTTCAAGATTACTAAGAACTTCACGGACATTTACTGCTTGAAATCGCTCTATTGCTCTCTCGTACGATCTACGTTGGAATACTGCTGTGCTGTCTGGAGCCCGAACTACAATAATGGGGCCGAGCGAATTGAATCTGTTCAACGACGTTTTCTTCGCTTCGCGCTCCGGAAGCTGCCTTGGAGATACCCAATTCGTCTTCCAAGCTACGAGAATCGCTGCCAATTGATCAATATCGAGCCCTTACGTATCCGAAGAGATGTTTTCAGAGCCTTAACCGTCGCCGATACTCTGCAAGGAAGAATTGACTGCGAAGCAATTCTGCAACAAGTGAACATTAATGTTCAACCTCGATCACTACGCAACAGTCTTATGCTGAGACTTCCACTTCTTCGAACTAATTATAGCATAGGGAGCGCTATTTACGGCTTGCAGCTAGTGTTCAACCGAGAAGCGTCGATGTTCGATTTCCACTTGACACGGAATATGCTTCGCCGAAGATTCTCTGCCTTTTTTGCTGACCGAAGGTGCTTGATACCCAACAGCTAAGTGTAAAATTTAAGACTTATAAATTTTTAGTAACTTGACAATGCTTTCCAAGTTATTTTCGTTTATAACTGTAGTAACTGTAGTATATGTATGTCGTCTGTATAATCTGTACTTTTTTACAACACATAATTGGGACTATTTCTAGTCTGTTGATGCAACCATAACAAATAAACAAATAAACAAATACCCAAGGGGTATTCAAGTGTATAAATCAAGATGTCAATATCCCATGAGTTTGGCAACCCTGAAGTTAGACTTTAGTGATTGTGTTTACATTTTCAATTTCTCTAATTCGTGACCATGGCTCATGGCAAATATTAAGCTTCATTCTCATTAGAATGAGAGCGGATTGGGCAGTGCAAGAGGAACTGGAAGCAATACAACCTATACGACCCGTCCACATACAACGGACGGTGGACGAGATTTTCACCAGCTGCCAGTAAAATGCTCCCCAACAAAATCAAACCCAGAACTCGAACATCACGTTCAAAAGCCTATCAAGTTCACGATCCTTTGCAGACGTGATACCTTCCACAAGGTACCACCAATCAAAACCAATGGCCAATGTACCACCAGTGAAAACCATCAAATGCGCGTCTCTATCAACGTCTCTGATCGCACCGGGTCGTTTAGAGACAAACTAATGCAACAGAAGAGTGCAGATTAGATCGTTGATGCATTAATCTGTTCCTATAAATCCTATACTGTTTCGCTAAGGTAATCGTCCAGATCTGATGGAATATTTGGAGTTAATGCGTATTGACATCCCCCAATAAGTACTGGGACTTGTATGGACATCCCTATAAAGTCCTGTAGATTTTTCATCGAAGCCCATACCAATTGAAACCAATGACTGGCATTACTGGCCGAAATACAAAACCCATCACCCACACCCCCTATGCAACCCCGTACCGTCGTATTGGACGATCTTACAGGCATTTGACTACTAACTACTGACTACTGGAGGAAACCCATTTTGGCCATCTTGACTGTCGTATCGACCCTCTCAACCGACCATGGTGTGGAAGAACTCTGTTGGCAGGACGAAACCACGAGCCGCTGGAATTTCCGCTACGAATCGGATGAGATAAACTTAGTTTCATGGTGCAGACAGGTGCAGGCAATATTCACAGCATTTTTCCTTGGAATCCAAACCCAATTTGAAGCCCAATGCAGTAAACAAAGAAATCAACCTTAGCAACGATTGGCGAAACGTCAACTCTCGACAGTGATGCCGTTTTATATTATGTTGATTGTATCCTACTTGTCAACGTTTGTCCTAAAGTGCCGAATAGTATGCCATGCTGTGTTTTGGCACAGTGTGCAGAGTTGATTACCCCTTGGCATTACCAGTGTTTATAAGTTCTGATGAGGCGAAATAACGTGCCTTTGGTTACTTGGGTACCTAGCTCTGGTCCTCACAAGTTCCTACCTCACGCCTCCCCGAGTCATATGATGACAAAAGACTACCAGTTGAAGCGGGACCCGTACAGAAGGCCGAATCACAAAAGGCTAAATATTCTAAGGTACCTTTTTCCGGGCCACATATAACTTATTCAGAAGGCAAGTAGAAGTTCTAGTGGTTCATCGATACCTTAATAATAGCAC